AACCGGATTTAGGGTCTCACACAAGTTAGGCAAGCATCATACCACCAAGGCATCTCTCTAGGACCGTCGTTCCCTCCCGCCCCACCCAGTATACTTTTTAAACATTGTCCTGTCATTTTTCTGGCTACTTTTTCACATAAGTTTGGTCCCGCCGGGCGGTGGTGGCGCACACCTTTAATGCCTTTAATCCCAGCACTCAGGAGGCAGAGCCAGGCGGATCTCTGTGAGTTCGAGGCCAGCCTGGGCTACCAAGTGAGTCCCAGGAAAGGCGCAAAGCTACGTAGAGAAACCCTGTCTCGAAAAACCAAAAAAAAAAAAAAAACCAGAAGTTTGGTCCCGTTCTGGTTTTCCTTTTTTTATGTAGAGCACTCCATCACTGGAGAAGCAAAGGCTGGAGGATCACCACAAGCTGAAGTCTAGCCAGTGGCAGACACAGTCTCAAAAAAAAAAAAAATCCATATTATTGGTAGGCTTTCTGGCCAACTTTCTGTTTGAGCTGTAGTGGGGCCTTTCTTTCAAGAATATCTTGTACTGCATATCCATGTTGATCTAAGGAAGCTAGCCTTTCTTTAGCCCAGGAAAATGTCTGTTTCTTATTTGGTTGTTGATTTTTATTGTGGATCTGCTTTATAGATACTTAGTTTGAAATATTTCTCTATGTAGTTCTGGCTGGCTGGCTGGCATAATCCAGTCTGTCCTTGAACTCAGAGAAATCTGTCTGTCTCTACTGAGTGTTGGCATTAAAGGTATGAGCATGGCTTTGTAAGTAAATTCTTATTGAAGCTTATTTGGAAACAGTGTATTGAAGCTTTCTAAGAAGAGTTAGCCTTCCTGCCTTTGAGTAAACAATGAGTGCAATAAAATAGCACCTAAAATTTGCCCCTTCTCAGGAGTGTGGGAGCCAGAAGGGTCAAGGACACCATGAGAAAGCTCATGCAATCAACTGACCTGGGCTCATAGGGGCTCACAGAGACTAGACTGACAGTTTTCTTATGGAACTCCTAACTGGAAAAAGGGCTGCCTCCGACTCCTTACTGGCTTTTGGGACCTACTTCTCATACAATGTTGCCTTGCCCAGCCTTAATACATAGGGAGGTGTCTTACTGCAACTTCATATGCCATGTTTTGTTGGTACTCATGGGAGACCTGCCCTTTCCTGGATGGTTGAAGGAAATAGAGGGGAGGAAGGGGAGGAGTTGGGGATGAGGCTGTGGCCAGGATCTAAAATAAATAGATTTAAAAAAAAAAAAAAACAAAACTTGCCCCTTCTCCTTAAATGTTGCATGTTAGTCAAACCTTTGTGTTTAGATTTAGAGGTCTCAGTCTGTGATCAGCTTGCCCCTTAGCTTGGACAAATGCCCCAGCACCAGGAACCTGTGGCAGACAGAAGAGACAGTGGACAAGATAGGTCTTCACAGGGCATGTTCTTAGGGACTTAGGTCCTACTTGCTGCTTTTCAGATTTCCCAATAGTGCTGTCACATTGTGACTCCATGGAGGGATTCATCCATTGTTTAGGTCAGAGCCCTCAGGATCCAGTCACTTCCCCAAATCATGTCACTCTGCGAAACAAATTCTTACTGTGATTTTTACTCTTTTTACTCACTACTTTGTTTATCCCTTCTTTCATCTCATAACATTCGTGCATCTCTGCCCCAGGGAGTTCACCAGAATCGTCTTGGAATCTCACAGTAAAAGCAGCTCTTTGATCTTCATTTGATTTCCTTTAATCCTCATTTTTCTCATTTTTGTCATTCTTTATGAGAGGAATAACCATGTGCAGTACAGTCTTTGTGTAGGGTAGCTAAATTAGCACATTACAGTTCCTGGTTTATTTCCATATTGGGGAAGGAAAGGCTCAAATCCCTGGTAGTCAGTTCTCCCTGTTTTATTGTAAACCCACGGCTTTCCTGGGTTTCCTTCTGATATATTTCCAAGCTCTGTTAATTCTGATTTGTCCTCATATAAGGAGAGGCCACAGCTGGATAAGGCTCAAGTTCTAGCTTACCCATTTCTCTTGGCTTCCATGGCCACATCTGCTTCATTTATCATTTGAATGGCAGGTTAACGTTTTCCTGGATTGCTCTAGGAGCCATGAAAAGTATTCATCAGTAATGTGACTTATCAGGGTCTAACTTAGGACGTCCACACTGACAGTACTGTGTAAAGCCTGGTTGTCTCAAAGGGAAGGTGTGCTAGTGAGGTCAGTTGCACTGTTTTGAGAGGTTGAGGAAGAGGAAATGTAGCCTTAAACCTAGTTTTGTGCTTATCAAGCTTTATTTTTCTGTTTCACTACCAGACATCTTTGTCTTTGTACGTAACATATTAGTTATTTGTTGATCACATGAAAGGTACTTTTTTCAGAAAAAAATTTGCCTGGTTGGAAAATATATGATTCAAATTTTGATAAGTATTTATTTAGAAGACAGTACAGTGGCAATGGGGGGTGCTTTTTGAGGCATGGTCTTGCTGTGTAACCCCCACTGGCCTCAAATTTACAGTTCTCTTGTCACAGCCTCCTGAGTGCTGGGATAACCATCACACCCAGCCTGAAGACAGTATGGGGATATTTTACTTTATCAGATGTGTTTATATCAGTTTCCTTTGGCCATCCTGTACTCTGTAGAAACGTGCCGGGATCTCTCTTAACTGGCAGATCCTTAGTATTTACCTTTTAATAAACGGACCAGAGGGCCATTATATTGTTATTATATCATCATGTTAAAACCTCAAAAATATTTTGGGTTTTTAAATTTCTGTGTTGTTTCTCTAGAAATTTTTATCTTTGACAGAATCAGCTTAGTTATCTATCCTGCTGCATTCTCTTTTTTTCTCCTCACATACCTTTAGTATGTGTTGTTGCCTTCAATAAACAAGGAAAAGGTTTGGGGGTTTGGTGTTGTTGCCGCTTTGGTTGGTTGTTTGGTTGTTTTTGTAATTCACTGGACTCGCCTGGATACAAGTTGAGTGGTTTCTAGGCCTTGGGAAGCCAAATTGAGTGTTCTGATTTTGTAGAAGGGCCTTGACTTACCCACTCTACTTCAGAATAAGCCAATGGGCAGCTTTGAGGCCTGGAATAGTATTCATTTGTGGTGATGATGAAGATGGATTAAGATTTATGTTTATATGTAATTTTCTTAGTTCTGTTTTCTGTTCTTCGTCCTTCTGTATAGAAAAGGTTGAAGTGGGGACTGGAGAGCTAGCCCAGTGGTTAAGAGCAGGTACTGCTTCTGCAGAGTTTGGTATCTGCACTCCCTATCAGGTGGCTTACAATCACCTGTAACTCCATCTCCAGGGCATCTGATGCCCTCTGCTCTCCTCGATGGGCATTTGTACTCATAGGCACATAGTTATACATAAACACACACAAGTACACATCATTTAAAAATAAAGCAGATCTTTTTATCAAGAGGTCAAAGTATGAAGCTTTTTACCTTAATTTATTTATTTTGTGGGGGAAGTTCCTGCCTGCTAACATGTCATTTGGCCATGAAAAGAAAGTCGGGGGAGTGCTGCTCAGCTAAAGCCTCTATATCAGTTTCTCTTAGCATACCTGTGTCCTGGCCTCCATCTACCCATTTGGGTTTGCTAGTGAGATTTTCTGTGGAGGAAGAGTGGGCAAAGGATGTGACTTATTCTGCCTCTGTTCTTTCAGTTTAGACTAAATCTGTATTCAAATGATTGTCCTTTTTAGACCAGATCTCACTCACCACTCCTGATCATAGATTATAGGAATATGGAGTATACTGCTGTGCCTGGTTGTTTAGGTGTTCAGTGTGGTTTGGTTTTTTAGTCTTTTGAGACAGGGTCTCACTCTGTAGTACTGGCCAACCTGGAACTTGTGTACAATCCTTCTGTCTCAGCCTCCCATGGGCTGGGATTACAGACGTGAGCTGATGCTTGTTTTAGGGGTTTATTTTGTTGGTAGTTTTTTGGTTTGGTTTGGTTTTTATTTTTTTATTTATTTTTTTTTTTTAGCTTCCCTTTGACTTTCATTTCTTTACATTTTAGGGAAGGATGTTCTGCAAACCCAATGATGATGCCGTAGGCCATAGTCATTCCTAAAACTTCCTCTTAAATATTAGGAGGAATTTTTAGAGTAAGAAAATAGGACATTATTAAACTGAGATAGCATTGGTTTTCAGTCTAGCTGTGAATCAGTTTTATGAAAAATTAACTGCCAGTCAATCTCTGCCCTCCACTCATTCACTCTTGCCATGAGCAGTTTGTGATCTTTGGCACTTTCTTATTTGGAACATCACATGGATGCTGATATTTTCAGTAGTTTCCTAAAACAGTAATCCTGAAACTAGTGTAAGAGACTCAAGAGTGGCTTAAAATGTTCTCAGAACATAATTCAATGGAGTTCATTTATAGCCAGCTTACATTGCATGTGATCCACAGGTTAACTTTGATTAATTCCATCATAGGTGTTAAATACTGAGAGTTAGTATATAGCAGCTATTTTAGGTGATGGACATTTTAATCTTGCCCATGGAAACTTAGCGTCTGGAAGACTTACTTTTCACCAAAGAAATGTTACCTTCATTGGCTTCTCTTTGCCTCAAAACTTAAACTTTGGATTTTGTGGACTGCAAAAATGTTGTTGCCATCCCTTCCCAACCAAGAACTATGATGTAAGTTGTCAGATCTTTATTTGCTGAATGAAAACACTAAAAATAAAAACACACACACACACAAAAAAAAAAAGCAATGGGAAAAAAGACATTTTCACACCTTATCACAAACAGGCACCAAAGATAGGAGTAAAATTGTGAGAACACAGCCTCCTAACACTGGGCTTTTAAATGGAATGTGTTCTGCTTTTAGCAAACTGTGTTCTATTTCCCTCTTCTAAAAATGTTTGACTGTATATTAATAAGTGCTTTCTTATGAATGAATTTGAGAACAACGATGCTTGGTGTTTAACAGAATCCTTAGGTCCTGCCTTAATATGGTGAGTAGCAAACATTCATCTCATGTCCTCTATTTTCTCACCAGTTCGATCCTTCGGTACAGAAGACAGACCAACAGACCGTCCAATACCACCTCGAGATGAAGTCTTTGAGTATATTATATTCCGGGGGAGTGATATCAAAGACCTCACTGTTTGTGAGCCACCAAAGCCACAGTGTTCTTTGCCTCAGGACCCAGCTATTGTTCAGGTAACTTATAGTAAATTGCCTTTGAGTGGTACCGTTACACCAGGTTACCCTTGGCTTTTTCCTTTCCCGTTGAACTTTCATGAAGCTTACTAACTAGTTAGAAGTTACTTGGATAATGTTCTTCTATAGGTTTCTTTGGGGATCGTAAGTTGAAACTTATAATAGCTGAAGAATTTAAATTTCACAGTAGTTTCTAGTTTCAACATTACTACATTGTTATGATGGCTGCCATCAAAAGTTAACTGCATAAGACTTTTTTTAATACAGAGCACAAACACTGCACTTAAGTTGGTCCTCGTGGTGCTCTTTCAGCTTGATACCCATAATTTTTTTGCTTTTTTAAGTGAGGAAATTGAAAAGGAACTGCAATGTGAATGGATCCAGGTAATAAGACTCCAGAATCTTGGACCCATGCCTCTACACTATTCGGATAATGGTTCATATTACAAACCAGGGTGATAATGGCTACTCTGGGATAAAATAACTAGCTTAAATGGGGGGTGCTAAATCATAGTATATATTATACAGTATGCAATGGTATATAATGGGATACCACAGCACAGAAGGATTTTAACACAAATTCTTTTAAGGTCTCAGGTTAAACGTTAGCTTTTAAATACTCTTAGAATTGAATCTTTGCATATTTTATTAAAGATGGACCCACCCACTGGGCAATATTGCCCACACCTGCAGTCCCAGCACTTCAGAGGTGGCCATGACCGTGGTGAGCACATCAGGAGATGGAGGATTTTCTCCACTACACATGAGCTTGAGGCCAGACTAGGCTACAGATCTTACTAGAAACAAAAAATAAGCAAACAAAAGTGGGAGAGGGAGGGGGCAGGGGAGGAGGATTATAGTCTTCTAATGGTTTTTCTCTTGAATTCATCTTATTTGTAATCTTTTTTCCTGTCTTAAGTCTGTCATTTCAAATGTATTTGTTGGCTTTTTAACAAGTCACATATGGGAAAATTTTAGTTTTCCAGAAATTACTCTTAAAATATTTATCTTTCCTGTGCTGGAGAGATGGCTCAGAAGTTAAGAGCATTGGCTGCTCTTCAATTCCCAGCAACCACATGGTGGCTCACAGCCACCTATAGTGAGATCTGATGCCCTCTTCTGGTATGTAACACATGTAGGCAAAATGCTGTATACATAATAAATAGATCTTTTGTGGGGCGGGGAGACCTATCTTCCCTAAGATTTTTTTCTTCTGTTAAAGGAAAATATCAACCAAACCCATCTAAGTGAAATGAGGCAAAGAACATAACTCAGTAGAGTGCTTGCCTAGCATATTACAAAGTCCTGCTTCTGATCTCCAGTGCCGGGGCTGCAAAGACAAGGCGGGGAGAAAATATGAAGCATACAGTTATTAATAACTATTAAGGAAAGTACCTTGATCCTATTTTTTTTTTCTGAATATAAAAGAAGCTTTTTCATTAAGAAACTGGAACTTTCATTCTTGCAGGAAAAAACTAGATTTTTGTCTCCCATTTTTAATTTTTATTTTGGGGCAACAAAGTCTGAAGTAACCCTAAGAAAACATGTGTTGTTTAGGTTGAGAAAGCAGAGACAATGCTGTAATAGAGGTGGCTCCTCACACCAGCACTGCTGTACCTTATTTAGTGTCTTCTGCATTTATCATTCAGTTACCAGTTACTTTGAGTAATCAGCTTTGTGGAAACAGAAAACACAGGCGAACAAGGCAGAATGGTATGACTTCTTCTAACCATAAGCCTTCACTTTGCTTGTTTTTATTCACTCGTGCAACCATGTGTTTTGAATTCCCAACATGTACCGATATTAGCAGAGAACAAAAGGTAAGGTCTAAACTAGCAAGATAGCTTAGTAAGAAAAGGTTCGTGGCACCGAGCCTGATGACCTGAGTTCTGCCCTCCTGACCAACAAGGTAGAAGAGAACTGACTCCCAAGAGTTATCCTCTGGTCCTCTATATGCATGCCAGGCCAACCCCTTCCCTCCTACACACAATAAATGTTTTTAAAGAAATGTTAAGGTTTTGCCATAAATTAGCTTATAGCCCTGTAGTCTTCAATGCAATTCATATTTGTGTTGTAGAATGTTTTATAAGATTAGTTAACAATATATATGTATTACAGTACACATTTTCATTTAGTAAGTTAAGATAAATGTATTACCCAGAAAAATACCTTAAAAGGAGGAAAGATTTTATCTTGACTTACAATTTCAGAACCCTTAGTCCACTTTGTTAGATCTATTGTTTGGGGTCTGAGGGAAAAGACATTGTCATGGCAGCAGGAATATATGGCAAAGGCTGTTCACCTCATGGTGGCCAAGAAGCAGGGAAAGCATGTCAGTGGAACAGGGCATCTCTCCTTCATTCTCTTTTGTTCCATCTGGATTTGAAGCCTATGGGCAGCGCCCACATTCAGGACAGTTTTCTTCCCTTAGTCATTCAGCTCTGGAGAAAGCGTTCACAGATATAACCAAAGTATGATTTACTTATCTCCTAATCAGGTTGACTAGATAAACCATCATATTACAGTTTATTATAAAAAGTTACTTGACTTAATCTAGTAATATTAAAACATAAACAACTTGATGTAGGGTATTTGTTTCTGCATCCCTTTCTGTGAATTCAGCAGTGGGCCTCAGGTGATTGAAAATAAGATGGATCTGGAGAGATGGCCCACTTGCTAAAGACACTTGGAACCAAGCCTGATGACCTGAGTCCAATCCTCAGAACCCACAGAGTGGAGGAGAGAAGGTCCTCGGCAAGTTGTCCTCTGACCTATACATGAATAATACACACTAAACAAAAGAATGATGTAAAAATAAATAAATAAAAAATTATAAATGAGAGTTCTTTTTATGTCAGTATCAGACTAAAAACCCATTTACTGAAAGTGATTTTTTTTTTTTTCTCTTTTTTTTTTCCCTGAGGGGTGAGGGACCCAGGTCTCTCATAGCTGTGGCTATCCTGGAATTCACTGTGTAGATCAGGCTAACCTCAAACTCGCAGATCCACCTATCGCTGCCTCCTGAGGGCATGCACCACCACACCCAGCAAGTAATTTTTCTATAAGCAGTTACTTTATAACTTATTCACTGTTACAGTTAACAGAGAACTGAAGTCACTGTTCATATATTTCCTAAATCTGTTATAAAACTAAACTCAAGAGGAATTTATCATAGAGAAAATGTTTCTAAATAGCATTAAATGTGACTGGTATGTAGACATTGGGCAGAGAGATAGCTCAGTAATTAAGAGCTCTGACTGCCCTTGCAGAGGTCCCGAGTTCATTCCCAGCACCCACATGGCAGTTCACAAATAGACAAATGTGGAAATGAGGTTGTTGATTGTTGTAATATTAAGTGTATCCTGTAAGTCATTGTGATTGCCTTTTTTGTCTAACAGTTAAACTTAGCATGTTTTTAAAAAGCGTAGAAAAATCTGAGTCTCCTTTATATGCATGTTGCTTAGAACTTAGAATAACCTATGGTTTTCTTTCAGTCCTCACTAGGTTCATCATCTTCTTCATTCCAATCTGTGGGTTCCTATGGACCTTTTGGCAGGATGCCAGCATACAGTCAGTTCAGTCCAAGCACCTTGGTTGGACAGCAGTTTGGCACCGTTGGTGTTGGTATGTGGTGACTTTTTTTTTGTCTCAATTTCTTAACTATAAAGGTATAAAAAACTTGCCAAAATGTTGTTTAATCTTTGTTTTATGATTATAAGTACTTAATGTTGTAAGTTGGGCGTGATGGTGCATTTTATAATCCTAGTACTTAGGAAAGGGAGGCAGGAGGATCAGAAGTTCAAGGTCATTCTCAGAAACCTAGCAAGTGTGAGGCTAGCCTAGAATACATGCAACCCTGTCTCAAAAAAAAAACAAAAACAAAAAAACAAAAACTTAACACTCTTTAACATTGGTCATAGTAAACGCTCAAAGTGCATTTAAGGAGCTGGAAAGATGCCTCAGCAGTTAAGAATACTTAACTGTTCTTGCACAAGATCGTGGTTCCATACCCAGCATCCTGCATAGTGGCTTACAACCTTTCTGTAGCTCCAGTTCCAGGAGATTCAGTGCTCTCTTCTGGCCTCCTAGAGTTCTTGCACACACGTGTGCACATACTCTTAGGTACATATACGTTTAATAAAGAAAGAAGCAAACATTTAACCCACCAAACATATTAGCTTCAAGTAACACATTAGTCCACAGTTAAAAAAATTTAATCTAGCATTAAACCCATTTTTCATGAATTACAGAATCTCATCTATGAATACAGATGGTATTTGCAGACATGGTGGGGTGTGAAAACCCAAAGTATCCTTTTTTTTTTTAAGTCAAGATTTATTTATTTTTATTTTATGTGTAAGTCTGTGCACCACAAAGGTACAGTACCCAAGGAGGCCAGAAGAGGGCATCAGATTCCCCCTGGAACTGGGATTAGAAATAGTTTTGAGTTGGGACTCAAACCCAGGTCCTCTGGAAAAACAATTGCTCTTAACCGTGGCACCATCTCCGCAACCTCAAACCCTTCCTTTATTAAACTGCTCTGGCCAGGTTATTAGTCACAGCAACAGTAAAAGTAACTAACATAGACAGAAAGTGACAGCATGTCTCTGGTCAAACCCTAAGTCTCCAACTAAATAAGCATGGATGATATTTAGATATCACTAACCGTAATGTGTGTTAGAGTTGCAGGAGGCTATGGCTTTGGCCTGAGCTCCTGCACCAGGCCCTGCACAGGCACAGGAGAGGTCAAAGACAGCCTGTCTGTTCTGGTAAAGAGTTAAACAAGACAAAACTTCCTTTAAAATTAAAATTGTAAAAAGGTTCCTCCAGGACCAGCACTTTAAAGTCAAATATGTGCTCATCAGCTGTGCTGCTTTAAGTCAGCCGGTCACAAAATAATGTGAGGCTAAACCAAGATGATTCAAGCACAGGATCCCTCATTGTTAGGAGTAAACGGGAAGATGGGCATGCAGACTTATCCAAGCACCAAGGGAAGGCTGTACCACTGGTTCACTATAATGCAGGCACTAATATATACCACCAACCCCTCTTGCCTTTTCACAATGCCTTTTCCTTTAGGGAAGTGCAGAGAATAGAGAACATAGGGAATGGTATGGAAATGGGGAATCACATTAGTCCACAGTTTAAAAAAAATTTAATCTAGCATTAAACCCACTTTTCATGAAGTACAGAATCTCATGTATGAATACAGACGGTATTTGCAGACATAGTGGGGTGTGAAAACCTGAAGTATCTTTTAAAAAAAAAAAAAAAAAAGTTGGCCTGGCTGCACAGCACATGGTAGAATGGGGGCTGTTTGCTCCTGATCACATGGCTGACCAAGAGCTATAGCTTGCTGCTGTCCAGGATCATAGACAACTATCTTATTTCATATTGCTAGCCTAGGAAACAATTTAAAGAATAATTTCTACTGAATAAACATGCTTTCCTATTACTGTAAAATAGAGTCATTGTAGTCAACCCGTCTTAATTTGGTGCTGTCTGTAGTATTACTATTCCTTCATAATAGTTTTATTTGCCATTGAGTCCACTGTATTACATTATTTAATTTCTTAAATGAGAGCTTCTAGAAATAGTGGAGAAGATGAACAGCTCAACACAATCAAGTAAGGGTTTGGAACTCATAAGAAACACAAATGTCTAGGGCTGGAAAGTTGGCTTAGCCCATAAAGACCCAAATTCAGATCCCCATTACTTATATAAAATCCAAACACAGCTGTTGATGGGTAGAGATGAGCTCACTGGCCAGCCAGTCTGGATGAATGGTGAACTCCAGGTTCAGTGAGAGACCCTGCCTCAACAGAGATGAAGAGCAACTAAGGAAGACACCCGATGTTGACCTCTGGCCTTGACACATACTTGTATACATGTGTACAAGTGCCTCATACACCTACATATTAAAAAAACAAACAAATGCAAGCCAGGTGTGGTAGCACCCACCTTTAATCCCGAAGGCAGATTTCTGAGTTCAAGGCCAGCCTGGTCTACAAAGCCAGTTCCAGGACAGCCACAGAGCTGCACAGAGGAACCTTGTTTCCAAAACATAAATACAAATGTCCCATAAACATGTGAAAAGGTGCTTTGTTCTTGCTTACAATAAAAAATGATACAAAGCAAGAGTCTCAGGATGCGGCTCAGTTAATAGAGTGCTTGCATAGTATGTAGGAGGCCCAGGGTTTGATGCTAACACCACAGTGAACTGGATGGGAGAGCCATACTTGTGTTCCCAGCACTGAGTTGGAGGCAGAGGGTCTAAATATTGATTGGTTGATTTTTAAATTTATTGTGTGTGTGTGCATGCACACGCATGTGTGCCACATGTATGCAGGAGTCCATGGCATCATGACAAGCATCACATGGGACTCTGAGTGCTAGGAACCTAGGACCTCTATATGAACAGTAAGTACTCTTAACTGCTGAGCAATCTCTCTAACCCAGAGGCAGAAGATCTAGATGTGGAAGGATTGAGGCTAGCTTGGGATAAATGAGACTGAAACCCTGCCTCCAAAAATAAATCACACTGAGATACCCTTTTTTTGCTATCAATTTGGCAGAAACTCAACGCACTTTTGCCAAAACATGAGGAAATAGATACACTGAAGACATAATATACTATAGCCACTGTTTTGTAAGCTGATACTGAAATCACCTTTGCAAAGATTGTTTATATAGAAATGAAAATCGTTGACCTTAATTTGTAGATCCTCAGAAAAAACTTAAGTTATCTCAGAATAAGTAAAACATCAAAACAGTATGTCCATGTTGGTATTAAAGAGTGGACAATAGGAGTGTATTGCTAGGGTAGAAAAAGGGAGTTGTAGAAATGTGAGTAATATAAATTAACCAGCAATTCTGCCTTTACCAGGCCTCTTACTTTTAGGACAAGCACTATATAATTAAGCTACATCCCCAGTCCCTGACTGCTTATTTTAATTAATTTAATTAAATGTACAGCAAAAGTTAAAATAAAGAACATGGGCATAATTATTAGATCCCCTCCTCCCATTGTTTACACCAGGTGATGAGTTCAACAGGAGTAATTTAAGACAGGTTTGCTGGTGTGTCATGGTATGCTGATGTTCAGTACTCTTACCTGCAGAATGGCAGAATATTGACCAAATAGACAGATGCTTGCATGTTAGTTGGTTGGTCAACCAACTGTTTGATGGTTCTCTTGGGTCTCTGGAGTTAAATAGAAATAGTATTTTAAAGATTTATTCTATTTGAAAGGGGTGGAGGTGTCCAGAAAAGTACACTGAATTCCCTAGAACTAGAACTACAGGCAGTTGTGAACCACTTGGCATGGGTGCTGGGAACTCAATTCGGGTCCTGTACAAGAGTAATATGTACTCTTAACTGCTGAGCCATCTCTCCATTTGCCTGTGTAGATTAATTTTTAATTACTAAGAATAGAAAAAAGGCACCAAGACAATAAAAAAGAACTGTCATACATACTGATAACAAAGCATATAAAGGGCATATCTGCTGTCAGACTTTTCATAACGATACAGTGGTCAGTTAATTAACCCTATAACAATCTATATAACAATCCCAAATGTGGCCAGGCTGGTGGCATACAACACCTTTAATCCCAGCACCTGGAAGGCAGAGACAGGCAGATACCTGTCTGTAAAATTGAGTCCAACCTGGTCTACATAGTAAGTTCCAGCACAGCCTGAGCTACACACTTGAGACTCTGTCTCCAGTAAATAAATAAGTAAATAAACACACACACACACACACACACACACACACACACACACACACACACACCTACCTAAATGTGTGTTAGCTTTTAGAGACATAACAGTTGCAGAATGTTGATTCTCTGCAAGTAGAAATTGATTCTTTGGCGATCCTAATCAGGGGCCACAGACAAGTTACATTAATATCCAAAAGAACTGGACGCTTATATGATATCTTCTTAAGCCACAAAAATGAATGTGGAATTAATAAAAATAATTTGAGAAACTACATAAATAATTTGAAATGGTGCAAAGTGGTTGATTAGTAACAGATCAGAGATGAAATCACAAAGACCGCTTGCAGAACACATTTGCTGGCACCTTATCTGAACAGACTATTGAAATAGTAACGCAACACTACTTACAGTAATAGCACCAATAACACCTTATACCTGGGCCTGGAAAGATGGCTCAGCGGTTAAGAGCACTAGCTGCTCTTCCAGAGGACCTGGGTTCAATTCCCAGCACCCACTTGGCAGCTCACAACTGTCTGTGACTCCAGTTCTAGAGGTTCCAACACCCTTACACAGATACACGTGTGCAGGCAAAACACCAATGCACGTGTATAAAAATAATTAAAAAATAATTACACCACATACCCAGAAATGAAAGATAACTTAAAACTTCTGTGGCAGTTTTTTCACTGGAGAGAAACTAAATTGCCCACATTCTCCAAGGGACATTCGGCAGTGAAGGGCTGAGTCAGTTTTGGCTTTTAAAACTAGGGCTGTATTGGTATGTAGTGCACAGAGTCTGGGGTGCTGGGACAACTCCTTCTGAAACCTCTCCCGAATGGATCTCAGCTGAGCAGGTTGATCAGTAGGGCAATCTCACCAACACCTCCAAGTTGTTGGGTTTCTGCAGGATCGGCCGCTGGGCCCTGGGTTGGCCTCAGGCAGAATGTTGGGGTCCATTCTCGGGACAACTCCTAGTAGCAAGCATTGTCTGACCCAGAATGTAACGAATGCTGAAGTTGAGGTAACCCTGCTCTACAGAGAACCACAAAACTGCTGAGAGACTAAAGCGCTGCATAAACAGCTAATCCATGCTTATGGATTGAGAGTCAGAACATTATAGATGACACGCTCTCCTGAATTGATTCACAAATTCAAGTCAAAATCTCATCAGTCCTTTTAAAACAGAAGTTTGAGGTTTATATGACCCAATTTAAAGACTGTTTCAGAGATAGAATAATTAGAGCTTTGAATTACTGGCATAAAGATAGACAAATATGGGTAAATGAAAAATAGAGAATAGAAGTAGATATACCCAAATACTGATTTTTACTTTTCCCATGAAGCTCCTAGTACGGCTCAGTGGAAAGAAAACCACCATTTTAACATATAATGTTGTAGTAGCTGAATATCTCCATAAATAATGCAAACCTTGATTGACCCTTCTTAAGCCTTGGATAAAAAGTGATTTGGGAGGCAGTTGAGTCTCATGCCTATTACCCCATGTACTGAGTGGTTTTTTATGTGTCAGCTTGACACAAGCTGTAGAGTCATCAGAGGAAGGAGCCTCAGCTGAGGAATGCCTCCATGAGATCCAGCCGTAAGGCATTTTCTCATTTAGTGATCAATGGAGGGCCCAGCCCTTGGTGGGTGGTGCCATCCCTGGGCTGCTGGTCCTGGGTTCTATAAGAAGGTGGGCTAAGCAAGCTGTGGGAAGCAAGCCAGTAAGCAGCTCCCTTCCATGGCCTCTGCATCAGCTCCTGCCTTTGGGATCCTGCCCTGTTTTGAGTTTCTGCCTTGACTTCCTTCAGGGAAGAACAGCATTGCTAAAGTGTGAGCCTAATAAACCCTTTTCTCCCCAACTTGCTCTTTGGAAAACAGTAGAAACCCTAGCTAAGACACCCCAGTACCTAGAAAGCCGAGGCGGGAAGACTTTGAATTTGGAACTAGCCTGGCCAGCATAATAAGACTTTGTCACTAGTAATAGTGACAGTGATGATAGAGTGTTTGAGGGCTGCAGACATGAACCAGTAGCAGGATGAAGTCAAGGAACAGGGGGTACGGTGACAAGAGGAGAAGATCCAGAGCTTGCTACCATTGAATCAGCACTCCAGCAGGCCACAGGCCCGGTGAGGGGAGTGCGGTCCTCAGAGTAGCTTGTGTTTGTGGGGGTGATGTCTCATCTCTTCCAGAGCTGCCCAGAGCGGAAGCCTAACTGGAATGTGCCTTGGTGGGTGAGAGTACTCCATGTGTGAGGTGCTGCTGTGTTCTGGTGGCCCATTTTAAGGGGATTTGAAGAGTAGAATTCATCAAATCAGGAGTCTGGGGAGCTGTAAAGTGTCTTAAACACCATGACTAAAATGTAGAAATATTTTAAAGAACTGGAGTGCACCCTGGAAACCAGCAGATTGCATTTTAAGAGCGGTTTACAGATTACACAGGTTCAAATACACAGTGATGTGAGAAGTGGGGCAGGTAATGAGGGCTTTATAAACTGGTAGTAGTTAGTTGACATTGGGAGCATTAGAAGGTTCCAAATGCTATAATGGTGTGACTATATTTGTATTAAGTACGAGCTTATTCTGACTACCATCATAGAGGTATACGAATGAGAGATGAGATAGGTATTGTTTTTGGTTCTTGTTGTTTTTTGTTTGTTTGTTTTCACCGAGACAGGGTTTCTATGTGTAGCTTTGCACCTTTGCTGGAACTTGCTTTTTAGACCAGGTTGGCCTTGAACTCACAGAGATCCGCCTGCCTCTGCCTCCCGAGTGCTGGGATTAAAGGTGTGCGCCACCACCACCCGGCAGTAATTTTTATAAGTATGGGTTGGGTACCCAGACAATTAGTAAAATGCTGGGTTTTTGTTTGTTTGTTTTGTTTGTTTTTCTTTTAATCTTTTCAAGCTGGGAGCTCCTTGACATCCTTTGGAACAGAAGCATCAAATAGCAGTACCTTATCCCAGAGCAGCACAGTTGGTTCTGCCTTCACACAGGATACAAGATCTGTAAAACCACAGCTAGCCCAAGGTAAGCTGTTCTGCCTGGCGAGTACTTGCATTCTAAACTTCTCTAGCAGCTTTTGCTTTGTTCTGAAGATTTATAAACAGCATGTATTATTGGTTTTGACTCTTTAAATTTTGTTTTTGAGACAGGGATTCCACTCCTTATCTTAGGCTAGCCTCTAATTCAGTATATTCTTTCCTTGGCCTTCTAAGTACTGGGATTATAGGTGTGTGCCAACATACTTCCCTAGTTCAGGGATTTTTTTTCCCCTAGTTACTCTATTGCAATAAATGTTTTGCTGAATGGCTTCTACTTATTTTTACTTTTTAAACTTTCTACACATTGGAATTGAAATGATGAACATTCTGTGTTTGACATTTGTTTACCAAGTGTATCAGATTTGTCCTAGACTCCCCACTGAAAGTTAAACTATGCTAAGTAAATTTGAAAACCCATCCAAAGAAACTGTTGATGTGCATGCTGTTGGGTCTTGCCTAACACCTCACACATGTAGGCCCTTCTGTCTCTGGATCATCACAAAAGAACCATCTTGTAGTGCTTCTGAAAATGCAGGGCATAATTAAGATCTGGAAGATTAGAAACCTTGGAGCCTGGAGATTAACATTTTAATAAGCTTAAGAGATCCTGTTGTCATTTTGAAAAATTCTGTTCTTCTGCCAGATAGTCTCATAATCTGAGTCACAGAGTCCCGTGTCTGCTGTGTCCACTGCTGCAGTCAGTGTGACGGGCCATTGCTTTCCGTTCAGGAGTGCAGTGCAGGTTTCTTCATGACGGTGGAACAGTGCAGGGCAAAGCCGATGAAGATCGGAATCAAGCCAGTTCTAATAAGCGTGATCCTGGATGTTTGCTGCTGTGCCTTAAAGTAATTGTAGCAGTGTTGTTCATGCTGGCTGACCTAGTAAGTGTGGAGCTGGAGAGATGGCTCCAGTGAAGAGGATTTTATTAGTCTTGCCGAGGACCTGAGTTGGGTTCACAGCACCCACATGGGGCCAGGTCAAACCTGTCCATGACTCCAGCGGGTTCTAAACTGTTAACCATTAGCTTCCATGGCCACTGAAAGATACTCACACATGTTGGGGGTATCTCCTGGACCTGCCTTCTCCAAACCCTGCCGCTGAGAAAGCCCGCCACACAGCAGCTCTACCCCCACAGGGTATTTAAGGTCCTCCCAAAGACTTCTCCCCTCATGGTTCCCTCTCATGGCTTCTTCTCTTCCCCTGGGACCACCCAGGAATGCTCCGCTCAGACTGAACCTGGATTTGCTAATTCGGCCTGATCTGACATATTAACATCGGTGGCAGCAGTGTTACTGCCGGAGTATTTAAGCTTTTCAACACACATACACACACAAACATAATGAAAAATAAAAACGTAAATATATCGGTTGCGTTTTATGTTTTAAATACTTGAAAGATTTTCTGTAAATGACTTGTAAATAGAAGCATAAGGAATAAAACAAAACCATAAGCCAAGTGGCAGTGGCTCACGCCTTTAACCCCATTACTTGGGAGGCAGAGCCAGGCAGATTTCTCTGAGTTCAAGGCCACCTACAGAACGAGATCCAGGACTTTTCTAAGCTAATATAACTGTATACTTGTGACTTTGTTGTTTGCTATATTTTGCTAGAGATCTTTCTAATAAAATATAACCCTTAATTTCCTTTTGCTTGTGAAATTTTGCTGAGTATGGTGGCTCATAACTTTAATCTTAGCAGTTTGGAGGCAGAAGCAAGCAGATCCCTGTGAGTTCCAGGTAGCCAGGTCTTTAAAAAAAACAAAGAGGGACTGGAGAGATAGCTCAAAGGTTAAGAGCACTGACTGCTCTTCCAGCTCACAACTGTCTGTAACTTCAGCCCCAGGGAATCTGACACCAATGCACATAAAATAAAGGTAAATAAACTATAAAAAGAAAGAAAGAATAAATAGCTATTAAAAAGGTAGCTCAGGGTTTAAGAGCACTTGCTGCTGTTTTCAGAGGACCCAGGTTTGATTCTCAACACCCATGTGGAGGCTCATAATCATGTGTAACTCCAATCTCAGGGATCCAACTTCCTCTTCTGGCCTCTGTGGACACTGCACATGCATGGTACACACATGCAGGCAAAACTCTATATACATTTTTAAAAAAACCAAATAAATTGTAAAAAATAAATGTTAAAATACACCTAGAGAGCCGGGTGGTGGTGGCACATGTCTTTAATCCCAGCACTCAGGAGGCAGAGCCAGGCAGATCTCTGTGAGTTCCAGGCTAGCCCGGTCTACAGAGCAAGATCCAGGACAGGCACCAAAACTATACAGAGAAACCCTGTCTCGAAAACACACACACACACCTGGGTGTACAGCAAAACACTAAAAAAATAAGAGTAGCAAGCTTAGCTACTTGGTATAATAAAACTATAAAAATAAATTTAGAGGTGAATAAAACAGTGTATAGTGTTGGAAACAGCTCCGCGCTGTAAGTGCAAGATGTAATGGCTAATGGTATAGTTTAGTGGTAGAACATTCCCTAGCTGTGTGTGATGATCTGGGCTTGAGCCTCTGTACAGCCAGTATGGGGAAAGGGGTGTAATGAAGATTTCTAGATTAAATTGTAGTAGAAAAAGGCTGACATTGGTGCCTGATGGTTTAAGAAAAGTAGGATTGGATTCCTTCCCTCGTACTGCAGACTTGAAAACAAGTATTTTTATTAGATTTTGATGTGGATATTTATATAAATCTATGGCATAGAAAGCCTAAGAATCCATTTAAATTTTACCAATTAAAATGTTTGGATTGCAGACGCTTGACAGGTGGCTCAGCAAGAGCTTGTGCTGCTCTTGCAAAAAGTGTGTGTATCCGTATGTGTATCAGACACCTCAGCCCCCCTGGACACGCCTGCTCCAGGGCGTCTGCTGCCCTCTCTGGCCTTCTCCAGCCCGCACATTCAGGTGCACAGGCACGAACACATAAACGGAATAAAAGTAAATCTTTTTAAAAAATAATAAAGCTGGTCATAGTGGTACACACCTTTAATCCTAGCACATTGGAGGCAGAGGCTTGTGGATCTTTGTTAGTTCCAGGCCAGCCAGGGCTACAAAGTGAAGCGCTGTCTCAAAAAAACTAAATAAATAAATTTCTGAATTTCACACAAATAAATGAGATTCTCTTTTAATTCTATGATAAGAATGTGATGGTCGCTCAGGGAGGTGTTTTTGATTTTTCCTGAAATCATTTCTGGATTTATTCCTAATCATACACACCACATTTCCTTATTTGTAAGTTAGTAAGTTGTTAGTAAAAAGAAATTTTTACACTCTGTGTGCCCCATTGGGTTCACCTCTCTACTTACTGCTTCCGCGTCATGGGCTTTCTTCTCAGAGGAGCAGGGAGGAAAGTGGTTTTCTGAATAGGAAAGGTCATTGATAGAGTACTATACAGTGACATGCAGCAACAGGCAGTTCTCAGATCTTACCACTTCAGCTGCTTGTGATGGTGTCCTAGGTTCAAGGCCAGCTTTGTCTACTTAGCAAGGACATGATCTAAAGGGAAGAGAAAAGGAAAACCTAACTTTGAAAACTGCATAATGGCATATGCCTGTGATCTCTGCTGCATAGGCAACTACATTGGAAGCTGAGGCAGGAGGATCACTTGAGTCCAGGTGTTGAGTGCCAGCCTGAGCAGCTTATCCATTCCCTATCTTAAACAATGCTCCTTTTTAAGTATGAAGTGAGCCAAAATATTATAACCATAAACAACAAAAACTTAGTGTTTATATTAATAGTACCTTATGTTTCCACTGTTTTACTGGTAATTAAACTTTTGACTAAAGTAACTTTGCCATAAATCTGGAAATACCGTAGACATTGTAATTACATACTTGGGGGACAGTACTGATAATTGTCCCTGGGGTTCTGAGTACTCACAACCAGAGAGCAGTCAGCATCCACCCTCTTCCCCAGTTCCTTGAGCCTGGACAGATGTAGATCTGGGGATTTTTTCTTATATATAATATATATAGATAATTTTTAAGTAAAATTCTCTATTTTGGTACAATATCATGGAATCTAAGAGCTTCTTTAGAAGTTTAGAGCAAATATTACAGGAACAAAAAGCATAATTATTTAATAAGTCAATCCCATGATAAGCAGAGACATGACAGGAGAGCTTTTATATGACTAGGAATGAGTGACTATTCTGGAATTCTCAGAAGAGTTTGTTTTTGCTGCCTTTTTAATTTTGACATTTAATTACTCAAATACGCGAGGCTTCCAAGGACTACCACCGTGCTTTATTGTTCTTTACATTCTTGTAACAACTCCGTGCTTTAGTTTGCTTGGACATGCATACCTGGATCCTAGCACCTTGGTGATGGGGACAGGAGGGTCAGGAGTTGAAGGCCAGCAAGAACTATATGATAATTCTGTCTCTTTTCCCACCCCCCAAAAAAGAAAGAAAGAAACTGAATGTGTCACTCCTGTGATTAGGGAAAGCCTCCATTTGCCTACAGTGTGGTCTTTGCATCCCAGCACTTGGAAGGCAGTGCTAGTGGATTTCTGAGGCCAGCCTGCTCTATAGAGTGAGTTCCAGGACAGCCAAGGCTACATAGAGAGACCCTGTCTCGGAAAAAAAAAGAACTAGAAGGAAGAAAGAAAGATGGATAAAGTCATAGCAGTGGTGTTGTTACTGTAGTGTGGTTTTTTTGTTTTGTTTTGGGGTTTTTTTTTGTTTTTTGTTTTTGTTTTTTTGTTTTTTTTGAGATTTTGGGTTTTTGTTTGTTTTGGTTTTGTTTTGTTTTCATTAGCTGAATAATCAGCCCACTGATTATTCAGCTAATGAAAATTTAAGTAAATTTAAACACTGGTCTAATAAAATTCAGTTTTATGCTGAGGATTTGAGTTAGCAGAATAAAATTCTAGACTTATTTTTACAAGGTCTAGATGATTTTGAAATACCAGGTTAGGGTAGTTTATTATCTTTTGGTTACATTTTAGGTCGATCAAGCCCTCAGTTAGACCCTTTGAGAAAAAGTCCAACCATGGAACAAGCAGTACAGACCGCCTCGGCCCACTTACCTGCTCCAGCACCTGTTGGGAGAAGGAGCCCTGTACCAACCAGGCCTTTGCCATCTACCAGCCAGAAAGCAATAGACAACCAAGAGCACAGGCGAGGTAGAGCTGAGCTGTTTACTGTTCCTGCACTGACTGATCACTCTCCATCTCCTCATTTCACCAAGAGGGTTACTTTATATGAACGACCCTAGCAGGTTCAAGCTGAACTTGAATAGTGTTCGGACTTTGAAATTTTGATTGAAAGTGGTGGTGGGGGTGGGGGTTTTTTAGGGGGTGTTGCCATCTCCATTCTAACATCATGGAAATTTCTGGTTATATATTTTGAATTGATTTGTCACTTTGCATGTCTCTTTTTGTAGCTGAAGTACACAAAGTCCCAAGGCCAGAAAATGAGCAGCTCAGAAATGATAGCAAGAGGCAAGTAGGTAAGTTACCTGGATCTGGCTGGTTTGGGTTCATTTGATTTGAGGGTTTTTGTGGTTGGTTGGCTGACTGATTGGTTGATTAGTTGGTAGGTCGGTTGGTTGTGACAGGTCCTTACTGCATAGCCCTGGCTGGCTTGAAACTCGGCCTCTCAAGTGCAAGTGCGGGGATTAAAGGCATGTGCCACCACCCCCAGCAGCTACCTGAATCTGAAGGCCTCATACTGTGGCTCTCAATGGGGGAAAGCATCTTGGAGATGGTGTAGTTGCTATAAAAAGAAAAAAAGTGGGAATTGTTAACTACAGAGGGCTGACCCCAGGGGAGTGAATCATTGTGAGTCTGTGCATGTGGCAGACTGTTGCTGACCTCTACAAAAAGACATACCTAAAGATGAATGTCAGTAATTAGTGATGTTGAGGAAGATGTAGTTTGGTTTATTACACTCTGCCAATATCTGTTTCCTAGTTTTGCTAGTATACAGTAGTTCAGATATTACTGTTGGTGAGGAAGCTGGAAAAAGGACTCAATGCCATAATGCACTTTTTTTTTTCTGTTTTCTTATATCTATATTTAATTTTTCTGAAGTACTGTTTTTCTGGAAAAGACTTGATGGTACACAGTTGTCTTTGGGTTTGGGTTTATGTCCATGTTCTTGTGGATGTATATGCAGGCAAGTACATGATGCATATATGTACACATGGGGGTGGAGGCCAGAGAGCAATATTGGGTGTCTTTGTTGATCACTCTCCACATTATTTTTTGAGGTAAGAGTCTCTCGCTGAACCTGGAGTTCATTAACTTGACTGGGCTGGCTGGTCATTGAGCTCCAGGAATCCACCTGTCTTCAGGACTTGGGTCCTCATGCTTATGGCAGATGGCCTCCTCAATCACTCTTCATCCTGTAAATTGAGGAAGATTGCTCACCTGAAACTTGAGCTTGCTAATTAGGCTAGTGTAGCTAGCAAGCTTGCTCCAAGGATCCCGTCTCTGCCTTCTGAGAGCTAGAATCATGGGTGCGGGATACTGTGTCCTCCCAGCATTTATGTGGTTGCTGGGCATCTGGACTGCAGCCCTCACAGTTGTATAGCAGGAGAGCTTTACCGTCAGGTCTTGTATAATATTAGAGGGACCAGCCTTAATATTATACATCCCAGGGGCTCAGGAGAGAGAACTACTAACGGCGAGGACTATTATCAGGA